TATGGATTTAGAAGTGGTGCTCATCTCAGGCAAACAAATACAGGAGTTGATGACATATGGCAAAAAGTTTTTTTCTTCACGGAAGCTAGCAAAAGGAGACAGAAAGGGAACACAAGGTGAGAGAGATGGTTTATCTCTATCCTTTCCATTCAAGATGTATTTTTCAAATAACAAGTGTATATTTAGGATTGACCATGTATGTTGTACAAGTGTTTTGGTAAATGATGGGGATGAAATACATCAGAGGGATAACATGGTCTCTGTCCTCAAGGAACTGACCCTTTTGTTAGAACAAGGCTCATTTGAAATAAGGAGAGAACCCTATGTAACCATCTCCCTTTCTTCTTTTTGCCTAGATAAAAGTTTTCTGAAGGATTTTTCTTTTTTTTTGACTGGTAAGGGGATCGTAATCCTCGGCATGGTTTGGTCTGCACCGCGCTCAGCCAGTGAGCGCACCAGCCATCCCTATATAGGAGCCGAACCTGCGGCCTCGGCGCTACCGGCGCCATACTCTCCCAAGTGAGCCATGGCGCTGGCCCTCTGAAGGATTTTTCAATGCAGAGGGATCTATACCATAATTATTCTCTTTATTTTTTTAAAAAAAGCTTTGTTGTGAATGTTTTCAAATATTTACACAAGTAGAGAAAATAGTATAATGAACTCCACCCCATATCCAGCCTCCAGATTCAACAATTTGTCATACTGTTTGGTTGATCATCATTTTGTCATACTGTTTGGTTGATCCCTTTTTCTTTCCTTTCTTTCCTTTTTCCTTTCCTTTTTCTTTCCTACCTCTTTACCTCCCTCCCTCCTTCCTTTTTTCCTTTCTTCCTGTGCCCTTGCATTTTTTTTTTTTTTTTTAAAAGATGACTGGTAAGGGGATCTTAACCCTTGACTTGGTGTTGTCAGCACCACGCTCAGCCAGCGAGCTAACCAGCCATCCCTATATGGAATCTGAACCCGGGGCCTTGGTGTTATCAGCACCACACTCTCCCGAGTGAGCCACGGGCCGGCCTGCTCTTGCATTTTAAAAGATATTTATGACATTGTGCATTTTTATTCCAAACACTTATGTATTATAACATCTGCATATACATTTTAATATACCTAACCAGTTTTCTAATGATGGCCATTTTTTATTGTTTCTAGTTATCTCTTACAAGTAGTGCTTCCTGGAATTATCTTTATATGCCTATATCTTTTTAACATCCTTACACATACGTCTTTTCTCACACTTGGCATTTTTGGAATGCAATCTCCTGGAAATGAGATTGCTAAAGCAAAGGGTATGAACCTTTTACAAATTGCTACATAATACCAAACTGACTTCCAGAAATGTTGCAGTGATTCTTATTCCTATTAACAGTGTGCCTTTTTGTCTATATTTTTACACCTGGGTTTCATCAGTCTATTAATTTTTGCCAATTTCTCAGTATCATAGATTTTTAAAGATTTTTTATGTGCATTTAAAAATGATTAATGAGGCTGGGCATAATTATTCTTATTATTGACCACTTGTACTTCTGTTGTGAATTCAAGCTAATCTTTCATAAACATTACTTTCATTGTTTTTCTTCTTTATTCAAAAACCATAGTATCATTATTTCCTATACCTCATCTTTAAGACCCTTCATGATTTGGTCCTAACCTATTTTTCTAACTTAATACTGTCCAGCAGAGCCACTGTACTCCAATAAGGATTATTTCCTCATTCATGTAACTCATTCTGTTCTTTTTTTAAATTCATTTTAGTAATGTTTTATTTTTCATCTGCTTATCCAAATCCTTATAAGTATTCTTATAACCCATCTTGTAATAAAGTAGCCCAGATTCTCTAGCCTTCATTATTTTCCTCTTGTTTGAATTTCCACACAGCATCTACAGTTTCTATCACTAGATTTTGTAGGAAATTATAGACTGCTTTATTGTGTTATTTATCAAGCACCAACTGTGTGCGAGGCCACGATTGTACAGCTGTGGACAGAGCAGTCTCTGTCCTCGTGGAGTTCATAGTGTAGTGATGATGCATTTATTTCTGCTTCTTTGCTTGTTAGTGAAGTTGAACTTCTTTTCGTATACCTTTGTACATGTGAAACATGCACACATTTCTAGGTATATAGTTATATGTTCCTGAGTGGATTGTGAGATCATTGAGATTATGAACCATGTTTTATACTTCTCTCTTCCTTAAAACTCTTAACTTAGCATGTAGCCATTACTAAGTAAAGAAAGCTGGTATAGTAAGAAAAGGTGGAGTCTGTAGAATCCCATATCTGTCCTCAATTACAGCTCAAAGCCTTATGAACTGTTATGTTTGCCAGTTATTTAGCAACTCTCATCCTCTGCCCTCATAAGTTAAATATCTGCTTCATAAGGTGTCGTGTAGGTTAAATAAAATAGTACACATAAAGCATCTAGCATAATGCCTGCTACAGAGTAAGTGCTCATTAAAAGGTACCTGTTATCATTATTATTATTATTTTTTTTTTTTTTAAAGATGACCGGTAAGGGGATCTTAACCCTTGACTTGGTGTTGTCAGCACCACACTCAGCCAGTGAGCAAACCAGCCATCCCTATATCGGATCCGAACCCGGGGCCTTGGTGTTATCAGCACCACACTCTCCCGAGTGAGCCACGGGCCGGCCCAAAGGTACCTGTTATTATAATTTATAATTTGTTTAACCTCTCAAGCTAGAAAATGCTTCAGCAACGTTTTATTTCCCTAATGCCTTTCATTTAAGCAGTTACCAAATTCTGCTGTTTGCTTCAATTATCTTGTCAATTTAGCCTCTCCTTTTAATTCGCATTGTAACCTACAATAAGAAATACATTTTATATTGTGGCTTAGTATATGCTGTGTTTACTCGTACATATCTGAAAGAAAAGTTTTATGAAATACTCATTGTTAAGATGTGTGATGTCCTCTAATAGTTTTTTGTCCTGTTCTTTGTCATTTTTAAAAAGCTGGTCACAGCCATTAAAACTGATTTTACGGGCCGGCCCGGTGGCGCACTGCTACAGTGCACCGCTTGGGAGCACGGCGGCGCTCCCGCCGAGGGTTCGGATCCCACATACAGACCGGTTCCCGCTCACTGGCTGAGCGAGGTGAGGGCGCGACACTGAGGGTTGCGATCCGTTGCCAGACATGAAAAAAGACAAAAAGGAAAAAAAAAAAACTGATTTTACAACAGCTTGAAACACACTGGTCTAAATTTTTGGAATCTGTAGCATTTGAACTAGCACTGAACAGGATAATGTTTAAGTGAAATTTTTCAGTGAAATAGAAAACAGAGGTCAAGTGACTGAGGCTTAGAGCTTATTTAGATTGGACTTTCTCTTTGTTCTCCATTAGTTATATATGAGGGTACTTCAGAAAGTTTGTGGAAAATGGAATTAAAAGAGAATGCAAATCTTTCCATGAACTTTTTGAAGTACCCTTGTATAGTTAGATTTACCTATTCTCAATCTGATTTTGCTGCTAAAGGTAAGAGTGTTCAGTTGTACATATGCCAGAGCTGGTATAGAATGCAATCACTCAGCAGTTGGTTGAGAAATTCTTACCTTGCAAGGCAAGAATTTCTCAACCAACTTATGTGTGTATTATTTTCTTAGGACAGAAATTGAGATACATGAGTTAAAAAGCCATTAGCATAATTCTCAAAGAGGGACTTGAAAAAAAACTTTTTATTTGGAAATTTTCAAACATTTTAATGACCAGAAAGAAGAGTATAGTGAGTTCCCATTACCTAAATTCAACTTTGATAATTATCAATGTTATGTCAATTCCAAGAGGAATTTTTAGCAAAGAATTTTTAAGGCACACATAATTCCCTCCCTTAATAGATAGATAATCTGTTTTTCAGAATAAATATATCAGCCTTAGTGTACCTTGCTTCAGTACTTACAACTTATTAATTTTATTTGATACCTATAAGAGGAGTAAATAATTATATGACACGGGGGGGCAGAGATGGTGTGGTAATGTTTTGCACCATTTCATGGATTTTCTTAACAGCCTCCTGCAACATTAGACCCTTGCCATTTTACTTGAAGTATTTCAGCAGCCTCTTTTACCAATTTCCCTACCACCCACCTGCCTTACCATACCTACCACCTGTCTTACTGCTGATCGTTAAAAGTGACTTGAGGGGAGGAGAATCTATATGTTTATCCTATATAAAACTTCTTTGGTTCTTCCTTCCCTACCTATAGAATAAAATCCCAAACCATAAGATTTTTGTTCATAATCTGGCTCCAGCCTGCTTTCCTAACCTTCTCTTCCACTGTCTCTTCCCTACCATTTTTAGCTTCTTAACATTCCTAGAATATGCAATCCATTTTAGGACTTGTGCTTATTTTTCAAGATCCAATTTAGATATCATCTTGTGGGTAAGGCCTTTATAACTACCCCAGAAAAAAGTAGTTGTTTGCTTAGGTGGTGTGTGTGTGTGTGATGCTACTGAACTGAGTTATGTTATATTTAGCAGTTTAGGTTCACCACCTTCTTCACCCTCAATTAGACAGTATCTCTTACAGTGCAGGAGTTATATCTTATTATTGTTTGTCACTGAAGCACTTCTTTGGTATCCGCACATAGTAGGCATCCAGTAATGGTTTGTTGAATGAATGTGTTCATACTTTTAATATTTTTAGAATCCAATTCCAATACACATTCTCTTCAGATAGGAAGAGTTAATTAAAGATTATTTTTTCATTTTGTTTTTGTATATTTTTAGTTTTTTTCCTCCCTCCCTTTGGTACTTTTGTTAAAATTTCTAGAGAACCTACATTCTACAGCTTTTTCCTTAGAGGGAAATAAACTTTGGTAAACTCGTATAGTGTATCCATCCTTAATAATCCTGTTGTAAAGGTAAGTAATCTATTTTCCGTATACTTACTTTTTTTCTGTTGAGCAATATGGTTTATTTTCATGAGTTGGAGTAAATTTGTACTATAAAGCTTATAGTAGCCTCGAATAATTTTTTTTTATGTATTTCAGCTCATGGAATGCTGTGTAAATGCGCTGGTGACATCCTTTAAAGAGACTATCTTAGCAGAGTGCCAAGGCATGATCAAGCGAAATGAAACTGAAAGTAGGTAAAATATCACATAAAGTTATTATAATCATTTAAGAGGGTATCTTTGAACAAACCACTTAATAAATTGCTGTTAGGTCATTCTTTTACACATAAATATATTTGTCAGAGTGAACTCTGCTTAAAGAAAATAATAAAATATTTAATACAGAAGCTCTGCTAAGGAGTTGACAAACTTAAATTTTAAGCTTTTTCCCCCTTATGTATCAATCCTTTGCGTGTGTGCATGTGTAGTGAATTTCTATTTTTTTCCTCAAAAGTCGTACTCTGCTTTTAAAGGCCAGTTTAAATTATAAATATATATAGAATAAAACTAGGTATTGACTTTTGTGTGGAACCTTGTTATGAATCTTTTTAGAAAATCATAAAACAGTTCATGTTAACAATCTTCATCCTTCTCCCCCAAAATTATAATTTAAGATCTCTGAAGTGTACTTTTGTTAATTAAATGTTTGCTTTATAAAGGTATGCTTTGGAGAGGTATAACAAACAAAAAGAAAAAAGTGTCCAATCCCTACTACCTCAAGATAACCACTTTTAACATTTTGATGTATTACTCTCCAGATTTCGTGTCTAGTTGCAAGGTCTCAATTAATCTCTAGTTGTACTTAAAATATGTTTTGATTCACTTAAGCTCATATACTCATAGGAGTAATTCTATAGTAAAGAGCAAGCTGCTCATTGGCATAAGTGAAATATTCAAATTATCTATGCCAGTCTAAGTAGAATTATATCTGATCCATTTTGGACTCTCTTCAAAAGGATTGATTTAGGGCCGGCCCTGTGGCGCACTCGGGAGAGTGCGACGCTGGGAGCGCAGCATCACTCACGCCGCGTGTTCGGATCCTATATGGAAACGGCCGGTGCGCTCACTGGCTGAGCGCGGTGCGGGCGACACCAAGCCAAGGGTTGTGAGCCCCTTACCGGTCACGAAAAAGACCAAAAAAAAAGGATTGATTTAGTGGTATCCAACACTGTGAGGTAGGGTTTTTGTGAAGGTTGATTAAGTGGCATACCATATGAAAAAAATGCTTTATAAATTGAAATTTTTTTTAATACAGTTTTATATTATCTATAATATAGTTTCTTTTATAATCATTACTTGTGATTTGTTTTCGTTTGTTTTTGGTAGCTGGCCAGTACAAGGATCGAGCCCTGGACCTTGGTGTTATCAGCACCATACTCTAACCAGCTGAGCTAACCAGCCAACGTTCATGATTTTTTTACCCTTTAATGATGTAGCTATCTATTTAATATTGTAACTACTTTATGAAATATACTAATCTTCCATGTTTTGCACTTCTTAGAACGAAAAATATTTTAGCCAAATGATGGAGAAGGAACAAAGCAGAAGAGATTAAAACATTGCCAAGAAAAATATTCTAATATAATCCCAATCCAATTTATTTTTATAGTATTCTTCTTAGACATCAAAATTGACGTCTACTCCCTTATTTCCTTTTTCTCTAAACTACACGCAAGTAGTAGAATTAAGTAACACTAACATTCTCCCCCAAGAGTCAAGGGCGATAGCAGGACTCAGTCTAGTGGTGTATTTTTTGTGTGTGTGTCCCCTTTTTGAGACCGGCCGCACCGCGCTCAGCCAGTGAGCGCTGTGAGCGCACCAGTCATCCCTATATAGGATCCGAACCTGCGGCGGGAGCGCTGCTACGCTCCCAGCGCCGCACTCTCCCAAGTGCGCCACGGGTTCGGCCCAAATGACTCACCTTTTAAAGGAGTTTGGTTTTGTAGTATATGATCACTTTTAATTAGATTTTTTAAAAAATAATTTTCGTCAAACTGCAAAGGTGGATCAGGAAGTCCTACTTACTATAACAACTCCTAAACTAATTGTACCACAGAATACTATTAACCTTACAAACTTCCAACTAATATTTCTCCTAACTTTTACTACCATAGGCATTTCACGATATAAATCTGAGAGAAAATTTATTCTAGTGGATGAAATGATTACATGAGTATGTTCTGTGCTTTCAGAATTACATTTAATGTTTTCATTGATGGACAAAGTTCCTAATGGGATAGAGCCAATGTTGAAAGACTTGGAGGAACATATCATTAGTGCTGGCCTGGCAGATATGGTAGCAGCTGCTGAAACTATTACTACTGTAAGTTTTCTTCAATGGCAATGATAGATGTATATCAAGGTTATTTTAAAAACAGAGGATGGGGTATTTAAAATAGTTTTTGGAATGGCAAAACAGTAATATTGGAATGCCTCTTAACTTTATTTTCTTTTGTGCAGATAAAACATTTATTTTTAAGAAAAAATGCCATAAAACTATAGTCTTTTATTAAAATTATGTGTTTATTTTCTTGTATTAAAATACAAAACATTTTGTTTCTAGGACTCTGAGAAATATGTTGAGCAGTTACTTACACTATTTAATAGATTTAGTAAACTCGTCAAAGAAGCTTTTCAAGATGATCCACGATTTCTTACTGCAAGAGACAAGGTATATATTCCTGTATATTAACACTGCATTAAAAGTGTTACTGTCATAGTTTACTTTTGATAACACTGCTCTAACAGTGTTAAAAACACTGCTCAAAATTATCCACCCATGAGTGTTGAACACATTTCTAGCTTGCCGCCTGCAGACACAACACATATTTCTGCAGTTTTAGAAAAAGTGCCTTTTGGTACAGGTGCAGATACTAACAGTGGGTAAAGTCTGAGGGATGTGAAGAGGCTTGACAGCATCTGATACACCGGCTGTGTGGCTTGGGATTGAAAGATAAAAATGACAGTAGCCTCTAGAAACAACTTCTCAGGGAGGCTTTGGCTGACCACTTCCCCCCAACTCGTTGAACACTTTCTCTTTGTATCATGTTCTTTGAGTAATCCTTACCACCCACACTGATGCTATGCCAGCTCATGCCATTGTCATCTACTGTCTAACTCTGACATACCCCTGAGTTCTCAAATTTAATGTCCATTTTTAAAAAATTGTTTATTTTTACTTAATTGTGTATACAAGATGATATTATGGGATACATATAGATAATAAGAAGGTTACCACTGTATAGTAAAGCGAAGTAACATATCCATCATCTTGTATAGTTAGCCCTTTTCTTGTTTTTGTTTCAAGAGCAGCTAAAATCTATTCATTTAGCATAAATCCCACAACACATATAGTACAATTTTATTACCTATAGTCCTCATGTTGTACATTAGATCCTTAGACTTGTTCATCCTATATCTTTGCTACTTTGTATCCTTTGATCTGTATGTCCTCATTTCATCCCTGACTCCTACCCCTAGTAACCACTGTTTTGTTCTCAATCTCTATATTTGGATTTTTTTTTTTTCTTTTTAGATTCCACATATAAGTGAGGTAATGAATATTTGTCTTTCTGTGTCTGGCTTATTTCACTTAACATAAATGTTCTCCAGACTCATCCATGTTGTAGCCAATGGCAAGATGCCATTCTTTTTTAGAGCTGAATAGTATTCCATTGTATATATGTACTACAGTTTCTTTATCTGTTGATAGACAGTTAGGCTGTTTCCATATCTTGGCTATTGTGAATAATGCTGCAATGAACATGGGAATGCAGATAACTTTATAAGGTAGTGATTTACTTTTCTTTGGGTAAATGCCCAAAAGAAGGATTGCTAGGATTCTGTTATAAAAATAGACTATACAGGATTTCCCAGTGAGTCAAATGTAGAATGTGATAGAAAGAGGCCAATCAAGGATGACACTCACATTTGTGTTCTGATCAGTTAGAAGAATATGTTTACTGTAATAGGGAAGACTGTGGGAGAAGCAGGTTTGGAGAAGATGGTTGCAGAGAGATCAGAAACTCAGTTTTGAACAAGTTAACTTTTAAATGTCTTAAAGATCCATGTTGAGTCTGGAGATTAAGAGAGAGAATGGGGCTGGAAAAATATATTTGGCAGCTTCAGCATATAGATAGTTTTAAAGCACTGACACTGTCTATGATCACCAAAGTAATGAGTGAGTACAGAAAAGAGAAGAAATCCAAGGATTGGCATAGGGCGTTCTCATATTTAGTTGTTAGAAAGATGAGGAACCAACCATCTTTTGTGAGGAGAGGGGAGAATGAGCAGAATGACCAGGAGAGTGTGGTGTGCTAGAAAACAAGCAGAAAAAGTTCTTCCAGGAGGAGGGCATGATCTGCTGTTTTAAAATGCTGCTGATTGGTCCAATAAAATGGGTATTAACCATTGTCTTCAGCAGCATGGCAGTTGTGAGTGACTTAGACAAGAACAATTGGGTGGAGTGGTGGTGTGAAAGCCTGATTAGGATGATTTTTAATAAGAATGCAGGAAAGAAATTGGCCACAGTGAGTTAGAGAATTATTCTAGGAGTTTAGAGTAAAGGGAGGAACAGAAATGGGGCATTAGCTGAAGGTGAACAAAGCTAAGAATCAATTTTTAAGATGTAGAAAATAATGGCATTTTTTAATGCTGAGGCTACAGAAACAATGGAGAGGGAGAAATTGAAGTAGAAGAGGGAATTCTGGGGCTGAGCCCGTGGCGCACTCGGGAGAGTGCACTCCCGCCGCGGGTTCGGATCCTATATAGGGATGACCGCTGCGCTCATTGGCTGAGCGCGGTGCAGCCGGTCTCAAAAAAAAAAGGACAAAAAAAAAAAATGAAATAGGAAGCCATATCATTAGCTGAGAGTGTGAAAGGGGGAGGAAATATTGGTGGTTTGAGGAGAAAGGAGATCGCACAAAAATCTTGTCTAGGACAATAGGAGACTGAGTGGACAAGAGAAAATAGTGTGGCTGTCAGGCACCATTAAGACCCCACTTGAGAATATTGATAATTATAACATGACAAAGAGCAAATTCTCTCAGGTCAATTATACCATTAAAACTAAAAACGGATTTTTACTGACAGTCATTATTGTTTGTAAATAAATACATACATAAATAATAAAACTGATTTGTGTTTCAATGTATTTTTGGAAGTGTAACAATTTATCTGTATTAAATATTAAAAATAATGTTCCTATTTGATCTCAAATTGTTTTTGCAGGCATATAAAGCAGTTGTTAATGATGCTACCATATTTAAACTTGAATTACCTTTGAAGCAGAAAGGGTAAGCTTTTTTAAACCGTATTTTAAAAACACTTATATTTTTTGGAGTGTATTACATGTTATTGGGTTTGCATGGTGCCCTGTTACCCTTAACCCTAGGTTTGTTTTTGTTGTTACTTTTATGATTTTTGCTGCCTTTGGTTAGAAAAACTCTCAATTTATAATTTTGTGTTAAATTATCTCTCCTTATGACCAAAAAATGTTGACTTTATTTTATTTTATTTTATTTTTTTGTCTTTTTGTCTTTTTCCGTGTCCGGCAACGGATCGCAACCCTCAGTGTTGCCCCCGTACCGGACCGGGGACCGGCAACGGGATCGCAACCCTCGGCGTTGCTCCCGCGCCTCGCTCAGCCAGTGAGCGGGAACCGGTCCACATGTGGGATCCGAACCCTCGGGCGGGAGCGCCGCCGCGCTTCCCAAGCGGTGCACTATCCAGTGCGCCACCGGGCCGGCCCGACTTTATTTTTTCAAGTAGGAAAAAATATTTTGTTACTAATCTTTTAGAATCTCTACTTGATTGTTTTTCCCTCATTCGTCACTAAAGGTATTCTGTTACCTATAAGAGCATGGGAAATAAATCAGTTCACCATAACGATATAAAAAGGAAAATCAATTTTAATATAAATTTTTATATTACCATTTTTAAAAATCTCATCAGTACAGTGAATTCACTTGTGCTAAGTACAATTTATAGAAAATTTGAAAATTGAAATTTATGTAATAATCTGAGCTAGTTATAATACCTTCAGAGTAGTACTAAGTAGCAATAAAGGTTATTCTGAAAAAATTTTTTTGATGTAATTTCTAGCTGAGAATTACTGTTTTAAACAAATTTTACATGTAATGCTAAAATATTTGAAAAAATTGGAAAATAGCATTTCTTAAGAAAAGTAATTATTCAGGGCCGGCCCAGTGGCGCACTGCTACTCCCGCCAAGGGTTCGGATCCCACATACAGACCGGTTCCCGCTCACTGGCTGAGCGAGGTGTGGGCACAGCACCGAGGGTTGTGGTCCCGTTGCCGGTCCTGGTCCGGGACGGGTGCGACACTGAGGGTTGCGATCTGTTGCCAGACACGAAAAGAAAAATAAAGACAAAAGAAAAGAAAAGTAATTATTCAGGTTTTTCATTTTAATGTTTTTGTTTTGTATTTTTTGAGCTGTGTAAGTTGCTTGAGTATTATTACCGTTAAAGGCATCTGAGTTGTATTTTAGAAGGGCATATTTCACATTCTCTTTTATTGTGAAATATATGAAACACATAACACTACATCTTGGTGATCTCATGAGTACCCAGAGGTCTTCCTTATCTTCCTCTGCTCAAGCATTTTTTTATGAAAAATTTCAAATTTACAATAAAATTACTATAATTGCATTATCAAATATGTATGTATCCATCAGTATCCCTGCATATATTCATCAGTCAACTTTTATTTTTTGGCATCTGGCTGGTATAGGGATCCAAACCCTTGATCTTGGTGTTATATATAACACCTCGCTATGACCAACTTAGCTAACAGGCTAGCCACTATCAGTCAACTTTTTAAATAGCGTTTCTAAAGAAGTTGCATACATCAGTAACTGTTACTCTCTAAACACTTCAGCATTCAATCATTAATTAAATTTTATGTTAGTGTGTTTATGTTTTAAGGTAAAATTTACATAGTCATATGCATAAATCTTAAGTGTCCAGTTGAGTCAGATTTGATAAATGTCTACACCTAATTAAGATGTACAATATCTCCATAATCCTAGAGTTGCTTCATGCCAGTTCTCAGGCAGTCCCACCCCACCTCCTTTCACAGGCAACTATTCTAGTTATTTTAACATAGGTTAACTTTTCCTGATCTGAGACTTCATATAAATGGAATCATACAATACTGTATGTACTCTTTTGTGTAAAACTTCTTCCAGTCAGCATTGTGTTTTTTAGATTCATTCATGATTTTGCATGTAACAGTAGTTTGCTTTCCGAAGTAATTATACTGTTCTACACTTCCAACAAAGTATGAGAGTACCTGTTGATCCTCATTCTTGCCAATGTCGGGTGTTGTCATTTTAATTTTAGTCATTCTGGATGTATGTAATGGTATATCATAGTTTTGTTGTTTTTTTTTTTTTGTCTTTTATCTTTTTCCGTGTCTGGCAACGGATCGCAACCCTCAGTGTTGCCCCCGTACCGGACCGGGGACCGGCAACGGGATTGCAACCCTCGGTGCTGCTCCCGCACCTCGCTCAGCCAGTGAGCGGGAACCGGTCTGTATGTGGGATCCGAACCCTCGGGCGGGAGCGCCGCCGCACTTCCCAAGCGGCGCACTTATCCAGTGCGCCACCGGGCCGGCCCCGGTATATCATAGTTTTAATTCCCATCTCCCTCATGACTGACTGTTGATGTTGAGCAATTTTTCTTGTATTTTGTGGCATTCTTAGAACTTTTTTCCTCTTTTTTCTCTTTTGACCTGTTCCTTTTTATTATTGAGTTATAAGAGTTCTTATATATTCTAGATATGTGTCCTTTGTAAGACTTCTGCTTTTCGGGCCGGCCCGGTGGCGCACTGGATAAGTGCGCCGCTTGGGAAGTGCGGCGGCGCTCCCGCCCGAGGGTTCGGATCCCACATACAGACCGGTTCCCGCTCACTGGCTGAGCGAGGTGCGGGAGCAGCACCGAGGGTTGCAATCCCGTTGCCGGTCCCCGGTCCGGTACGGGGGCAACACTGAGGGTTGCGATCCGTTGCCAGACACAGAAAAAGATAA